CATAACGATCTTGATCTTGTCTGCCGATAGACGAACGAATATTTTTCCCTTTCTATGCGCCATTGTGTCTCCCTCTCTCTTACCCACTGTTTGTTCTGGTCGCGTGCATTGACAAAACTCTCACGTAAATTTCCATATGATTTATGGACTTATTAAAGTAGAGCAGGTCACCGCGATCCATGGCGCTGTGGGAGCAGTGCCAAAAAGCTTTCTCAACAAGCTTTTCATTGCAGACGGATGTCAAACTGTTAACCAACATCCCACTGTTGTGCTGGGCCGTGGCATGTGGCATGTGTCTGACATATGAATGTGCTATCATTCGCATTCGCACTCGCACTCGCATTCGCATTTAATTTGAATATTGTTTTTTCTTCCTCTGTTTTGACTTGGCACTCGCTGCGGTAGTTTCATTTATTTTCTAGCTATGCGACTTTTACTCGTGATCAACGATCGCTGACCTAAAAAGCTACAAAGCTGATACAATGTGATCTGAGAGAGTCTCTCTCTCTCTCTCTCTCTGTGTCTCTCTCCTCTGTTTCTCTCTGGCAGTCTGTCACAAAAGCACGACAACAATAAAAACAAAACAAACAAGCATTTTGCAAGTGTCACGCAACCCACTTGTTTCATTAGTGATTGTCACTTGTATCTCCATCTCTCTCTCGCATTGGGTGTATCAATTCACGCGCTGCCTCTGTCTCAGTCCGCTTTAATACAGCCGTTTTGAAGGGCGTTCGCATTAAGCGAACTTTGTGCTCGTTGGGTTTGAAATCGAGGTGCGCAATGCGCAAAAGACAGGAACGCGCGTTTGGAATGTCAGTTTAATAAATATATTTAACTAATATTATCGCTTAGAGCCAACACAAGTACAACGTTATCTAAACGCTCGACTACAGCGGAATGTAGCGAGAGAGGGTAGCAACGAAATATTCCAAACTAAACCAAAGATACAAAGGCAAAGAAATTAACGTACATGCAATCAAATATAAATACGTACATAAATTATAACGAAAGCAAGAACAATAATACAACATAAATGCTAAACACAAATCAACAAGCCAAACAACAAAGAAGAAATCGATTTGCCAATGAATGAAACGAACGAAAGCAAATCCACAAACAATACAAAACAAAACCGCAAACGTCAAGCGAACAAACAAACCTACGGAAAGTGAAGGCGAAAGTGTAGCCACGCCCAACTGCGCGCGCGCCCGCCCGGCCGTTCCGAGCTAAGCACTCTCTCGATATTGTATTGTAAAGTGTTTCATTCCAATTGTCTCGAGTCGAATGCGACGTCACTGTCGCAAGCTCCGTTCCCGTTCCCGTTCCGATCATGTCCAAGACGAGCAGCAGCAGCAAGCACAGTCACAACAACAATAACAATCGCAGGCATCTGCCGGTGCCCGCGTCCGCCTCATCCCTCGATGACAGCGGCGGCGAGTCCTTTCTGCAGTACGACAGCGATAAGAAGCCGCCGCCGATAGTCGTCGTTGTGGGCGATGGCCGCAGTCGAGTGCGTCGCGTGGTGCGCACAGCCACGCGACACGTGACCGTTGTCAGTCTCTCCACACGGCACAAGGAGACCCAGACGCACACCTCGCACCATGTGACGGCCGTCAGGTAAGCGCCACCGGATACACAGCGGGCAAAGGGAAGCGCATTCCGCTTATCACTTATCGCACTCATTGGATCAACTGTCTACGGCTCTATTAAAGCGTATTTATGACTGTTTTACAATGTGTTTAGTCTTATCGTGGCATCGTAATTGTGACAGTGGTACTTGTCTAACAGTGTGCTGTCGTTTCATTTCCATTGCATTTCATCATCAATGCTATCAATAGTCATACTTTGCTTCTGTCATTTAACCTGTATTCTACAGTGCAGCTCAGCGCTGTTAACAGTGCTTTGGAATCTGTTTATGTTTCAATTCCAACAAAAATAATCTGTGCAGTGGAACCAGTTTCCAACAGTGCAGCTCAGAGCTGTTATTGCATTTACATTGCATGTTAGTTTTAACAGGGCTGTTGGTCTGAAATTAAATTATCGTGCACATTAACATTGCATACCTTTAGGCTGTAGAGGTAATGTAATGTTTTGATAATTTCAGAGCTCTATTAGCTAACCTTTTGTTGACATGTGTGAAATAAGAATTTGGTTTATTCATAGAGCAAAGCAAATAAAAACAATTTCTATTTCGGACGTATTTTTGATAAGATTAAAAGTCAAATCTAATCTCAAATATGTTTATAAAATTCCCACTGATAAGTGCAAATTGTTTTTCACACGACTTGACCCCACAATTTATTATTTATTATTAATATATGTATTTGTGATAAATCATGTATAGAGCTGCCATGGGTGTCCACTTCAGTGTGAAGCAATGTGACATACATGTTATGCCACCCGATGCGTTCGTCTAGCAGCTGTCTGTCTGTCCGATTATCATCTGTCTGTCTATCTGTCTGTCTGTCTATCTGTCTGTTTGTTGTTTTTGACTAGGGCACACTCCATAAGGCATAAGTTCTGAATAGAACACTAATGTAAAATCAATAACAATTACGGTTGCGCTTTAGCGAAAGGCAAAAGGCGGCCGCCGCGGCCGTTGCGGCTCACGCCAGGCGGAGTCGCCGACAGCGTCCGACAGAGGCGACACTTGTTGCATATTAAGCAGGCAGCGAGGAAGTGTGTGCGGCGGCAAGAGGAAGTGGCCCCGGGGCCAACAACAAATTAAAAACTTTGGCTCGCGAGCAAAGCGCTGCCGAGGGTTTGTTTGTGACGTCGCAAGCAGACACAGATACAAACACTCAGATACAGATACAGCTACAGCTAAAAAGACAGCGACAGCTATGCCCCTGGCAAACAAACAGCTGGACTCATGTGCAACGGCAAACAATTAGGGAAGACGTGTGGCAGATGTTTCTCGCTTGGCCTCAATTTACAAGGCAGGACTCTTGAGCTGCGCACTTAAATCGTGGACGAGCCATGCGACAGAGACAGCCTGAGTGAGAGAAAGAGGCAGATAGCGCGTCAAGTTGCTGTTGCTGTTGCCTGGCAACACTAACAACAAGTTGTGGTTGTTGTTGTTGTCAGGCAGGTAGAAAAACCTGCGCTAAGGACAATCCGAAATGAACGCCAGGTGCATTTGGGAAGCAAATCGTATTGTACGTGTTCCTGCTCCTCTCGTTATCCTGCCAACCGGTTCCTGCTGCCTGGGTGCGAATTGCAGCTGTTCTCCGTTCAGGTTTTGGCTTAGCCAAAGAAAACACAGCTAGATCACTAGAAGAAACATATTAGGCCACCAACTGGGCTCCGATTTGAAGCGGTGTGCAGACGCAGCTATACGAAAAACATAATCAATGATTTAAGCCCTGCAATGCAAATCGATTTAAGATTCAATTATTGAGCGACTGCAACTGTAACTGAGCTGAAGTTTTTTTTTTTTTTTTTTTTTTTTTTGAGTCGGTCTAATTGAAAAGAATCAAGATATTTTATTGTTTATTATTGTTAGTTTCATTCTGAGATTTTTAGAAATGTAAATCAAAGTCAAAAAATTGTAAAATAAGTCTATCGTTGGTCGTGGAACATAAGCATATGAAATATAAGATATACAGAAATTATATGATATATATGATTGATTTAAATTTAAAGAAATCCCAGAATGAATGAAACTAAAAAGTAAAATAATAATTTATTCTGGAATTACAATTATGGGAAAGAGTTACAACTTTGATTTCTATAATAACATTCATCGGACTGCATCTATATCTATACCTATATATATCTATATCTATATCTATATCTATATCTATATCTATATCTATATCTATATCTATATCTATATCTATATCTATATCTATATCTATATCTATATCTATATCTATATCTATATCTATATATCTATATCTATATCTATATCTATAACTATATCATTTATATTTATCTATATTCCAATAATTGTGATAAATCACGAATATGCTAAGACTCTCCTCAACTGCAAGCCAATATATTATTACTTTCTAATTTCCGCTTGTACTTGTTGAATATTTCTTTCAATTCACATGGAACTCGAATAAATTCATGTCATCTGTCGCCAGATTTCTTCAAATAATTCACACTTTCTAATAAGTGGTGCGGGGTCTAGGGGAATTTTCCTTCGTTTGTGTTTGTCATCGTTAGCTAATCATTTCCTTAACTTTTACTCCAGTGGAAGATATCCTGATCCGATCCATATGCCATATGGCATTTCGTTTTCAAATCTTTCGCCCTCACCTCACTCTGTGCCTTTGAGATCTCCCTCTCATTTTCTGGGCCTTTGTGTCGTGGATCCTTTTACGCTTAGGATGTTCCCTTTGTTGTCTGCTCGTATTGTCTATGGCTTCGCAAGGGTAGCAATTGTTTTCTGAGCACAGACAAAACAGATGCATTTTTTGGATGCGTAGGCAGCTGATACCCACACACACACAAACACACGCACACACAGAGGCATTCAGGCGAAACACGTTTCTGAGTCGTTGGTTCGAGCAGCTTGCAGAGCTCTGGGCAGACGCTCGGTTTAGTTGAAACGCGAACGTTGCTGGACGACGACGTGATCATCCGGCTCATCGAAATGCTTGAGCGGTGCTTCCTACGTTCGGTCTAACCGAAAGAAATAACTGAACAAAATTAAAAGAAACACGAGAAACGAAATTGAATTTGAATTTGAATCTGAATAAAATTAAAATAATTTAATACAACTGAAATTGTTTTTATATGTGAATATTCACCGCCTATAACTGTGTTTGGTTTACATCTGTGCGTGTGTTTTTGTGTGTGTCTCCGGGTATTTTTCTATTCAAGACTTAAGATCGTAGAATTAGTCAAAATGATAATTTGCATTTCTGGTTTTATAATTGGCGAAAGGTATGCAGCGATCCATTATACTTAACATAAGTCTCAAATGAAAGTTCTGTTCAAAGTCTTGTAATCCGTACTTACGCAACCCTCTCCCTTGCGCATCCTTGCAGCTTTCCCCAGAAGAGCATCGAGCGCAGTGGCTCCACACAATACGATCTGGCCGGAGCGCCAGTGGGAGCGCACGGCTCCGGCACAGCGACCGACGGCGTCGGTGGATATGTCTACCTACAGAACCACTATGCCGCTGGCGGCGGTCACAACTCCGCCACGACTATCAACTATCCCGCGCCGCAGCACCCGCAGATGATCTACCAGATCCAGCAGTATCCCACGTGCCATCAGCAACAGCAGCAGCAACAGCACCAGCAGCAGCAGCACTACATGCAGGTGCAGGCGGCACCGCCGGGCAGTGGGCACTACCACCACCACAACCACCACCTGCTGAACGGCCATGGGCACCACCACCACCACGGCGGGGCCGTCGTCATCGCCGGCAGCGGCGTGGGCACCGGAGCAGGAGGAGCCGGCGCAATCGTGCTGCAGCAGCAGCAACAGCAGCAGAACATGCACAAGAAGAACTCCATACGGAATGGCGGGGATGTGCTGAAGCGCACGCGCGCCCAGTCCGCGTAAGTGTGACTCAATAAGTAATAGACGATAAGAACTAGATACGGGGTAAGACAGAAGAAGAAGAAGCAGCTATCAGAGCTGCCCAACAGGTGGGCAGTGGCTCGCTGGGGACACCTTGGCTAACCAAATGAACTTGGACTTTGCACTGCGCCCAAGTGACTTGATAAGAGATAAAGGCCTGGTATCCAAGATTAGGCCCTGAGGCACGATAACAACCTGGGCACATGGGGCGCATGTAAATGTTTGCAAAAGCGACGCAGCTGACAGCTGACTCTGACTTGAGAGGGTAGCCCCCAGGGTCCCAGGCCCCAAGACCCCAGACCCCAGACCCAGTTGCGAGTCAAGAAGTGCGGAGTAAACACTTTCCAGCTGTTTTACAACTGATAAGGGAACACAGAGTATAGGTGATATCTCCGATAAAAGCAAAACTTTGATTCAATTTCAAATGAAAGGAATGGAGAATTCTATTACTTTTGTAGGATAGTCTTTTCTTGAACAATATGAGAATTATAAGAAGAAGAATAAGAATTATAACATACAATATAAACATATTTTTTTCTTTTCTTGTCTAGTTAGGAAAATGTTTAAATTCATTTTCTTTAAATTTAATAAAATTAACATATTTTAAATTTAAAGAAAATGGGACAACTATAAGAATATTTTCTGTTGGTAAACAAGAAGAATAAGAATATTAATTATTGATATACACACAAATCAATAAATAATATGCTTATAATTAAGTTTTGTGTATACTCGATAAAGATAATATATGAAAATAAACGCCGGCAAGTCTGTATTTATTTGAAAACAGCTTCAATTATTTATTTGATTAGATTACAATTGCATATTCTCTGTTAATTCCTTTAATACTTTTTCAAGTATCAAATACTCTGAACCATCTATCAAATTATCAAAATTCAGCCATATTTTTGAATTTTTGTGTTCAATGCAATAATCTACCCAGAAAATCTTAATTGACTTGATGAAACCAAAGTAAAATGTTTGTTAGTAATAATAAAATGGGATAATAAACTATCTCTAGGCAGGATACACGAGATTGTTGCGTCCATTATGACATACGATTAGTCTGCAAGTGGGTAGATCCACTCATCGGTAATATATTGAATGTGTATAATATTTGGGGTCTGCCACGCCTTCTTCTGTCTGTTGCTTTATACTTTATACTCCCACTTGACATATTCAATGGGTTCGGGTTATAAAAATCTAAAGATCCGTTCTAGACTTTTGACGAAATTTTTATTGAATTTCTCTTATCAATTTGTCTCGAGCTTCCGTAGGCACAATAGAGCTTTTATAAAGAGCTTTTGGTTCAAAGAACGATCTAGACTAAATAATTGCTCAAATGATAACGGGTTTTTAGCAAATATTTAAGATAGGGAGAGGGAGAGAGAGATAGATAGATAGAGAGAGAGAGAGAGAGACTGACTAATAACAATCTCGTTGCTAAATACATTTTAGGCAAAATGTAAAAATGGCTGAAATAGATTGGTTTTCTGATCCCGAGTGGATCATAGCCGCGCCTAAAATCCCGTTTCAGGTTCATTAGGCATTTGTTTATTAAAGTCTCGGTTCGGTTATATTTTATGCTAGAATTCTGAATGAGAAATGGCAGACTTTTAAACAGACCTAACTGTGCATTCGCATGACTTGGAGCTGACTCCGATATCGGCCAAGATCGAAATGAAAATTTTGGGGAATTGTTTTATGTTTTTACGGCAATACGCAAATTCGCCGTCGCTCCCTTGGCCTGGCTCGCTGCTCGTGGCAACATTTTAATCAGGTCGACAGCTCGCGCTGTATTTTAAAGATACACACACACACACACACACACACACACGCGCGCGTCTCAAACAAACTGCGCTATCTTATCAAATGGCTGCGACTTGCGGCAGTGGTGCGCAAATGCTCCCAGTCTAGCGACACGCCTTGGCGCAGATTCTCGAATTGCTGTTTTAGCGTAGTGTCTATTTGCCCATTGCTAGACTTGACTAATTGAGAATTGGATTGCTCTGCAGGTACGAGCTATCGCAGGATCTGCTGGACAAACAGATCGAGCTGCTGGAGCGCAAGTACGGCGGCGTGCGGGCCCGCAATGCGGCAGTCACCATTCAGCGCGCCTTCCGACACTACATGATGGTCAAGAAGTTCGCCTCGATCACGGCCATGGCCAAGGCCGAGAAGCGCCTCAGTCGCCGCATGGTGGTCACCGCCTCCAGCATGACCCTGGCCGAGGAGAGCGCCTCCGCAAATGCCTCTTTATCCTCTGCCTATGGCAGTGCCACAGAATCTCAGCTAGAGCAGCTGCAGCAGCAGCAGCAGCAACAACAACAACAGCAACAACAACAGCAGCAGCAGCAACAGACGGGACAGCATCAGCCACGTGTGACCATAATGGCGGGCCCGCCAGGTGCCGCCTCGCCCGGACTCTCGCGGACGCCCCCAACGCGCTCGCTCTCGATGCGCGAGCGGCGCCAGCTGGACTGCAGTCCCATTCCTCGCAGTCAGTCGGGTGAGTTTGATTTTGAGTTTGAGTCTCGCTTTGAGTTTTGAGCCAAATCAGTTGTCAATTAGTATACTGCTTGGGAAAGCCATTAGACAGCGCTAACCGACATTCCTTTTGCAACGCAGGCGCCTCACCCGTGTCCATTGGCAGCTCCACAACCTCCGTGTCCGGCCTGGCCTCGCATCCGCACGTCAACCTGCTGCACGCCGCCGAGCCGCACTACTACAATGCGCAGGCGATGCCGACAGCCGCCGCGTACTACACCAGCTACCACGGGTCGCCGCACGAGCTCAGCTACGCCAGCTCGGCGGACACCTCGCTGAATGCCTCCTGGGTGAACACCAGCGGCCACTCGCCGCACACGCCCTACTACTCGGCGGCGCAGATCTACATGCGGCCCAAGGGCGGCAGCACCACGCCGACGCCCAGCTGCGGCAGCCAGGGCAGCGGAAGCGGCAAGAAGGTGCCGCCAGAGGTGCCCAAGCGCACGTCCTCGATCACGGCCCAGCAGCAGAGCCAGCTGCTGATGATGCAGCGGCAGACGCCGCCGCCGCCCTCGCTGCTGCGCACCAACGGGCTCTGCAAGACAGCCGAGAACGGCAGCCTAACGTCCGTGCAGAGCTCCGGCTCGGACTCGAGCATCACCTCGGCGGAGCGCAACATCAACAGCGACCTGGGCTCCGACCGCAGCAACTCCCCGCACACCTGGAAGCGCGGCACGGCGCTCAACAGCTCGCAGCAGTTCTCCACGCACTCGGCGGACTCCGTGGGCGCCGCCGGCCAACTGCAGGTGGTGGTGGCAGCGGCCACCGCACCGGGCGGCGTGCCGCCCACAGATGACCACGCCATCTCCTCGCACACCAGCGCCGCCCAGTACGAGCAGCACGAGCAGCAGCAGCACGAACAGCAGCAGCTGCAGGCGGCGGCCGCCGCGGCGGGCGTGCCCCCCAACTACAAGATGTCGGAGACGATACGCAAGCGGCAGTACCGCGTGGGGCTCAATCTGTTCAACAAGAAGCCGGAGAAGGGCATCACGTACTTGATCCGGCGCGGATTCCTGGAGAACACGCCGCAGGGCGTCGCCCGCTTCCTGATCACGCGCAAGGGCCTCTCGCGGCAGATGATTGGAGAGTATCTGGGCAATCTGCAGAACCAGTTCAACATGGCGGTGCTCAGCTGCTTCGCCATGGAGCTGGACCTGTCCGGGCGGCAGGTGGACGTGGCGCTGCGCAAGTTCCAGGCCTACTTCCGCATGCCCGGCGAGGCGCAGAAGATTGAGCGGCTGATGGAGGTCTTCTCGCAGCGCTACTGCGAGTGCAATCCGGACATTGTGGGGCGGCTGAGGTCATCCGATACGGTAAGTCAAATGTGGATATGCGAGTGCTCGCTCCTCTTTACTTAGCCCTCGTATTGCTCCTTGCAGATCTTTGTGCTGGCTTTCGCCATCATCATGCTGAACACGGATCTGCATACGCCCAACCTGAAGCCGGAGCGGCGCATGCGCGTCGAGGACTTCATCAAGAACTTGCGCGGCATCGATGACTGCCACGACATAGACAGGGACATGCTGGTCGGCATCTTCGAGCGCGTCAAGTCGGATGAGTTCAAGCCAGGCAGCGACCACGTGACCCAGGTAATGAAGGTCCAGGCCACCATAGTGGGCAAGAAGCCGAATCTGGCCCTGCCCCATCGACGGCTCGTCTGCTACTGTCGGCTGTACGAGATACCCGACGTGAACAAGAAGGAGCGACCTGGCGTGCACCAGCGCGAGGTGTTCCTGTTCAACGATCTGCTGGTCATTACCAAAATCTTTAGCAAGAAGAAGACCTCCGTGACGTACACGTTCCGCAACAGCTTCCCGCTCTGCGGCGCCGTGGTCAGCTTGCTGGACTTGCCGAACTATCCGTTCTGCATTCAGCTTTCCCAGAAGGTGGACGGCAAGATCCTAATCACCTTCAATGCGCGCAACGAGCACGATCGCTGCAAGTTCGCCGAGGATCTCAAGGAGTCCATCAGTGAAATGGACGAAATGGAAGCGCTGCGCATTGAAGCCGAACTCGAGCGGCAGAAATCGGCGCGCAATCGCGCCACCGGCAGCGCGGACAACCGCGACAGCGGCGTGGCCGATGTCGAGGTCTGCCCATGTCCCTATCAGCCCGGCACTCAGGCGGCCGGCGAGCAGGCGTCCAGCTCTACGGACTCCAATCAGCTGAAGCGGAGCGCCCTCAGCAACAGTCTGCTGGACATGCATGAGCAATGTAAGCGACCTTTGTTGATTTTCTGTCTAATTAACTTGTTGCTAATCTGTGTCTAATCCCCCTCCAGTTGGCAACGAGAAGCCCCAGCGGCGTGGCAGCGTCGGCTCCCTGGACAGCGGCATGAGCATCTCATTCCAGTCGACAACCACGTCGAGTGCGTCGAGGGAGAACGCGGCCGCCATCGCAGCTGCCGCCAACGCGGCCAATGCGGCCTCGAAAATCCGCTTCAACCTGCAGGCCACCACCAGCAACGTCTATGCCGCGCCTGGCATGCAGGCCTACACGCACGCCAACTTCGTGCAGCAGTCGCAGGCGGCTTACATGCTGCAGCAGCAGCAAATGATTCAACAGCAGCAGGTGGCGCAGGCTCAGATGCAGGCGCACGCTCAAGCTCAGGCTCAGGCACAGGCACAGGCACAGGCCCAAGCACAGGCGCAAGCACAGGCCCAAGCACAAGCTCAAGCACAAGCGCAAGCACAGGCGCAGTCGCAGGCACAGCCAGGACCTGTGGTAATGGGACGTATACCAGGACGAGAGCGCAAGGCATCGCGGTCAGATGACTCGCGCTCCACAGAAGTCTAAATATGGCGCAGTATTTGTATATTCAGTTTAAATATATATATATAGATACGCATTCTACATATATATATAAATATATATATGTATATATCTGAAGCATACGCGTAAATTGAAATTTGTATGATCCGATACGAACCGAACCGAATCGAACCGAAAGCCATTTTTAAGCACACCTAACACCTAACAAAACAGCAGCTACAATATGAATTCTTAATGTTCCTTCGTTCTCTGCTAATATTATTGTACATAAACTGCATATTTGTCTATTAACGCGATTGAAATGCGACTTAAGTAAGTTTTCAAAACTAATTGTACATATTTAACAACATTTATCAACAATTTATATATATACGTACATTTATCTCTAACTAATCATTTCAAATACCCTCTATGATCGTCGCAGACTCGTGTCCACGATCAGTTAGCTAATAACAGAAGAAAAACCAATTTTTGAAATACATTTTCAGCAAGTAGATCCCTTTTGCTAGCGTACTAGTGTTTTCTTTTGTATTTAATCCCCTTTCTATCTAAAACATTATACGATAAACTTAAACACGTAATTTTAATACTAAAACAATCCACGATAAGTTGCGCTTTGTATATTACTTATTTCTTATACCATAATTAAGTTCGTGTAACTTAAAACCATCGTAAATCGATATACATATATATAAATACATATATATATATACCGCGTGTGTGTGTATATAACATGAATATTAACTTAAAAGCAATTAGCTATAATTATTCATATTTATAGAGCCAAAACTACCCAAAATCTAAAATATTAAATAATAATATATAATATAATAATAAATCGCAAAAGTGTATGAAAAACCAACCCGGATATATAAATATATATAAATATAAATATGTGAAAAAGAAAAGACTTAAAAATTTAAATAAATGAACAGAAATAATACCAAATTTTAGGTGTTTCATTTAAGATTTATGACTACTTTAATGGCCAGATTTTACAAAACCACTCCCAACTGAGATATTTAGCTTTAGATTTCGAAGAGTAAATAGTCGAATCTGTTGCCTAAGGGCATTATGACTGCATCCATTTAGTCGATGCTCCTGATGAAGGTATTATAATATTGAATTGAAATAATAAATAAAACCATTTCATTTATATAAATTTGTATATTTCATATTTATTAGTGATTTCAACTTATTTATATTATTGCTGACTCTACTAATTAAGGCCTTGTACAAAATTATTGTATTTCTGTTGTAGGTGCTAAATTCTATATTCGTAGTAGATTCCTATAATGGGTATGTGTGTGTGTAGAAGGGTGTGTATACGTGTGTGTATGTGAGTTCGTATCATATGTAGAATAGGGTTGCTTTATAGGCATGTTAGTCTAAATATTTATTGCTTTAAACAAATATACAAAAACTAAAAATTAGGGGGATTCCAATCTAGTGGAGTGAACTATTATTGAATAACTTTACAATCAAGTAGGGAAAACGAAAAGGCTGGGAGGTGAGCGTTGATCTCTACTTATAATAAATTGCACTTGCAAACTCTGTCAGATGCATTCGGATGATTCGCGAGTGCTATGGGGTGCTCGTTGTGGCTGGGATCCAAAGTATAAACATTAAAATTAAACTAAACGTATTTTGGCACTGTAAATAAAAAATTGCTTCCGATTTATAAGAAAATTCGTAAAACCTAAAAACGAGTGCAGACAGAAATAAAATGAAATTAGAAAGAGAAAAGAATTATAATTGTTACTACGAAACGGAAACAAAAGCATTTCAAATAACCCATATTCGATAATCGATAATAAATTACAGAGATTGATTTTATAAATTCAATTCAATTTTGCTTGCTGCTGCTCGTCTAAGGTTTCGTTTGATTATGCTAAGATGAAGCGGGCTCCTAGTCCAACAGAGCTGCTCTGTTGACCGGAGGCGCCTGAACTACTCTCTCTACATCTTTCCCTCTGATATCTCTAGCTAGACCATGCCAAAGTCCGTGCACACGGTGGGGGCTGTTGTTGCCGCTGCCGCTGTTGTCGTCTGGTTATTCTGTTGCTTTTCCTGGGCATTGCTGGCCGCCACTGCAGCTGCCGCCGCCGCCGCCATATTCAGCTCCACGAGCGTGTCGATGCTGTTGAGGCTCACTCCTTGCAGTATTTTGCGCGCCGCCAGCGACGTAAAATTGAAGGACAGATCTGTGAGGCTGGGGAAATTATAGAGCTCTTCGCTGCCCGTTCCCAGAACGTTGCCGATGCCATGCTGCTCCAGAGACTCCTTGGTTAGGCTCAGTCGCCTGTCCATGGCTTCCTTATCGATGGCCTTGTCATTAGCATGATCCTTCAGCGCCAGATTCGGCTCGCTGCCCAGCGGATTGCTGGACTTGTGCAGCAGATGCGCGAGCGCCAGCTCATCGCCATTCATGGTGCACTTCTGCAGCTGGCAGACAGACTCGTAGCAAAGGTTCTTCAGATCACTGCTGCTGTTCATGAGCTTGCGGTTGCTCTGCGATGGCGCCAAGTCTTTGGACTGCTTTTCATAGAAATTCAAATTGCCCACCGAGCCGGCTATTTCGAAGTCCTGGTTGGCCAAGGCAGCCAATTTCAGTGGGTGCTGCTGCTGCTCCCCACACGGCGAATTCGGCTGCGATTCATTCTTGAGCACGTTGTTCTTGTAGGCGATGCCATTGGCCAGCTGCAGGCACAGCTTGCGGTTGTTGTTCATGGTGCCCTCGTTGTTGGTGTTCTTGGCGTATTTGCCGCCATCATAGGAGGGCGTCTCAGTGGCCGTATTCTCCGGCGAGCTCTCGCTGATGAACGAAATGGAGTCGCACGTCTCCGAGTTGGCCTCCGTCTCGCTCAGCGGATGCTCGGGCACCGACTCGGGCCTAGCTGGCGTGGATGTGGCCATTGGCACAGATGCAGCTGGGGATGCAGCTGCTGCTGTCGTCTGTTTGGAGAGCGTCTTCTTGATGATCTCGCCCTTCTCATTCGTCATGGTCTCATTGTTGATGATAAACACATTCGAGTTCTCCAACATTTTGCCATTCTCCAGCGTGATCACACTCCTCACCGGCGAGTTCTGCACAAAGATCTTAGTGCTGGGTATGCTCTGGCCGCCGCCACTCGAGCTGGTGGTCACCTGCAGCGTGATGGAGTTATTGCTGTTCGAATTGGGCACTCCATTGGCGCTGCAGTTCGGGGGGTAGCTTAGCTCCTCCATTATGCGGCTGGGCGTGCTCGCCCGTTGCCTCTGCGCCTGCGCCTGCGCTTCAGCCACACGCGCTCTCATCGCCTGATGGCGCGGCGTGCCGCGGGGCGAGCCATTGAGCAGCAGTATGGAACGCGTGCTGCCATTTGTGTTTGTGGTCGGAGCCACTACAGCCGTGTTCGTGGAGCACTGTGAGTCCAGACTAGAGTGGCCGCTGGTCTTCTGGCTGAATGAAACCTTGCCGCTGTCAATGCTGGATGGGCCGCTGGCAAGCATTGACGTCTTGCAGGACTCCAGACTGGAGGGCCCGCTGCTCTGCAGACTGCGGTAGGCCGTCTTGTTGTCTGAGCAGCCATTCATCACGATCAGTCCATCCGTCTGCCGTTTGCCCGACGAGGCGGACTTCAGCGTCGAGGAGCGAGCCGGCGAGCTCTCGAAGATGTGCTTGCCGATGACCGACTTCTGCGCTGTTTTCTGCTGCATGGCTGATGGCGTTGGCGTAGCTGTGTGCAGGCGCGACAGCGTCGCCGAGGAGTGATTTATTTTGGTGTGATTGACGGCATTGCCGCTTCCGCTGCCGCCGCTGCTGGCTGGGATGGACTGAGTGGAACGAGGTAGCGAACTGCTGCAGTAGACGGGCGACCGCCGGCGTATGGGTGAGCAGTCCCTGGAGGATATCAGGAACGTCGACTCGCTGGACATGTGGCGGCGATGGCGACGCGGCAGTGTCGACGACCGCTGGCTCAGCTCGGAGCCGTCGTAGAACGTCGAATTGGAAAGCGTATGAACCGAGGGCATGTCCTGCAGCAAGAGAAAAGACTTACAATTAAAAGGTTGATTGATCGTGATGCCAACTTACGTGATCTGCGGTTTGGGTGCCCACGCTATGCAGATGGACGGCGCGCGTGTTGAACCACTCGGCGGGCGGAAACTGTGCCGAGTACGTCTCAATCTGGCGCTGCTTGGCGCGTCCGCTGCGTCGGAACAGCCGTGAGAGCAAAGATCCTTTTTCTGCAAACGTAAGAATATAATCTCTCAGATAAAGAATGTCCTTTTCAGTTGTGGCTGTGCCGCTACTTACTGGGGGATGACGAATCTGTGCTTTGGTATTCCGAGCTGCTACTGTCCGTCGTGTTGAGCGTCTGGGCATAGGTTTTGGACAGGCTGCGGGTCGAGGCGCAGCGTTGCAGGCGCTTAGATGAGCCAAAGAGCCGCAAACTGTGCCGGCGTTCCAAGCTGCGCGGCGTCGGAAATGATGCACTGCGTCGCTTGGCCGCACGCGGATATATAATCTTATCATTTGGATTACCTGTTTAGAAAGGTAATTGTACTTTAGCTTATGAATTGTTACAAATGAATTAGCTTTAAAAAGTTATCTGTAGCTCCAGCCCGACTACAGGTACCCTGTACGTCATCTAGTCAATGTTTTTATGTAGAGTCTGTGGATTGATCTAGCATACAAATATAACCATTTTAGACCTCAGCACTTTCCTGCATATTTCAATTCCTTTATCAACTTTTACCCCTACAGCGTTATCTATCAGTTCGATAAGATTTTTTACCGATAATATTAAAAGGGAAAATTAAACAAATTTTTGCAAAGAAAAAATCTGCGCACACTATTACAGGGACCTTTTAAAATGTGTTTGGCTTTTATGGGGTTAGGGATTGACGCGTTCATACCCGGGTGAACGGAAGAGGGCAGACTTAGCTTGTTGTCCTAATTAAGACTATATACCTCATTGGGTCTGCCACGTCTGCTTCTGCATGCAAAATACATTGATTCTCCATTTGGATTTAGGGCATAAATAGTCAAATAGTATACAATATTAAAGACATTTCAATTCAGGGAAATTATATCCCAAATGAACAACATTCGCCTCTCTGATTCAGTCTTCTCAATCATATGCAATAATCTCGGGTAGAACTCTAATTGACTTGGCAGTCGACTTGCCTCCGCAGATAACATCCGCCAGATTGGTTTGAATGCATTGATGCGTTAGGTCACCATCCCGTTCCGTGGATATTTCGCCGTACAGCGAGTGCAGGGCCTCCGCATTAGACATAAGCATAGTGCGTGCCTCCGGCGGAACGACGTCCTGCTGGTGCTCCTCCTCCGTCAGCTGAGAGTAGACTAGGCTGCCATTGGTGCTGTGGCCGCCATTGAGCTGGTGATGATTGCTGCGCGGACGCGACCGACTGCGACGGCGTCTGCAGAGGATTTGATAAAACGAAATGAGAGAACATTAAAGAGAATGCATGGAAACCAAATGTAGATGC